TACAATACAAATATACATTATGACCCTGTAATCATAATCTTTGATTCATGTAAGCATACAGTTAATGATGTGTAACCAGTGTATATTTCTAATTAAAGCTATGTTAATTAGGTCAGGTGTGATTGACAGATTATTGACAATTAAGGAAATAAGCCCTATTATACCGGTACATCTGTTTCATCTGTTAGCACCGTAAGTTAGTGTGCCCATGGAGGTACCTCCATGGTGTGCCATATTTTTTTTTTTGCCATATTTTCATCCTACCATATTAGGAAATAAGGAATGATTATGCACACAAGTGTCCTCTGATAATGAAAACGAACATGGCTGCCACCAGAGTTTGACCGGACTTCACACAAAGAAGTTTGCTGATTCTGTTCTAAACATTTTGGATTTCAGCATTCCCACGATGTATCCTTGGAAGGAAAAGATGTATAATAATGGTTATTACGAGAATACCTCAAAGTATGCATTCACAGTAAACTGCGCATCGATCTCTGCTTCACTCAATCCTCCAGCTGTACTGTCTTCATGCATACTTGTGTGGTGTTAAAATAATTTTAGTCATTATGTTTTATTGTTTACATTTGATTGATCAAGGCGTGTATGAAATATGGCTTTGTGGAACTGCATTCGTTTAAACTAGACCAGTCAGCCATTTTGGATTAGATGGTGACATAAATGATGTATTTAGGTGTATATTTTGATCAGTCCAGGGATGTTGAATAATGTACCAAGTTTGAACAGAATCCGTTTATGCATAACTGAGATTGTGTTCCGAATAGTGAAATGTGTGATTTTGATGAATATTTGGCTTTAAAAAGACTGCCATTTGGCCATCTTGAATTGGATCATGAATCAAATAAATGTGCACATGTCAAATATAACATATGTATGAAGTTTCAACTTGATCAGTCCAGGCATGTTGGATATATGAATCTGGAACTACATTTTTAAAAACAATATGGCTGTCAGTTAGCCATTTTGAAACTAATCCTAAAATATAATTACCTGCATCAAGGTTCTATTATGTTCAATGTATGTACCAAGTTCATGCATGACTGAGATGAAACACACAGGTCAATCCACAAGGCCATGTTTTCAGACTTCTTCTGAAGTGCAAATCATTTTATTCATTCAGATACACAAACAGTAGTAGTTTCCAACATTTTAATTGTTAATCAAAGTTAAGGAAGTACAAAATTAAGTTTGCTTGTAAAAAAATTAATGCATAATTTAGTAAAACATGATTTCAAATACCTTCTCCTAGTAAAGATAAAGTTCATATGAATAAGCTATAAACTGACTAATGGCTGAATATAACAAAACTAATCTATCAAGATAAAATACATAAAAATATTGCTTTTTTGGCTTAAAAAATGAATATCTGGTTGCAATAAACAACAAGTATTAATATGGTCATTTGTTGGAATACATCAAATTTAGGATATGCACTTCCAACAATTATGTTGACCTGGTAACCTCATTAAAACCATAGACAACAATGTAAATAAATAAAGAAAAAGACTTTATTAGCATGCTATTTTCTACCTTGCTGCTCCAGGGTCATAATTTGATATTACAAGGACTTTTACAGAGTGAATCCACAGAATGGTAAAAACTGGTAACAACTGAGCTGTCAACATTTTAATATTTCCAAGAATTCTTTTGTCTTTACATAGATCTGCAGCATGACAGCTTGATGAAGGATGAAATGTTTTTGAAAAGTGGAACAAAACTACAAATGAAATATCAAGTCAGAACATCATTTGAGTGATAATAGAATAAATTGTCATATGCATTCATTGCCAGTTTTTATTATTTTCCAACACGATCAGAACTTCTGTGAAAAAGTCTATGTTAAATTTCCATTGTAAAAATATAACCCTGTAACTGTGAAACCACTGCTTGCTAATTCATCATAAAACATATCTTTTATAGAGTACTTGGATTCTACAAATTCACTGAAATAAAACATGGTTGAAGGCAGATAACTGCATATACAGGAATTAGGTTCCTAATAGAGCAACTTATGGTTAAGTGACTAAGATCTGTGTTCTAAGAAGAATCTATCATTTAAGAAGACTCAAATGGGTGTCCCTTCAGTAGTTTCCGCTGATCTTTCTAACTGGTTAATGAAAAATAAATAAAGATTTTTATTAAAAAGTACAGACTTTTATTATCCAAAATTAAATTTCCTTTAATTAAGGAGGTACATAACACAAAAGTTAAAATTATGTTATTTTCTTTAATATAAGATTCTAAAAGTTGTGTCTTTGTTTGAATTTGTGTAATAGAACAAATGTAGCATAGAGTGTTACTAGAAAAGAGAAAAATACGCAGGAACCATAAATTATTTGACTTCAGTTTTATTTTATCAGTTTACTTAACTTCATACAACTAAAATATTATTATTCCCATGGTAACACACACCCCCACCTAAATAGTTGACAATGGAATACTCCAATACACCCTCTACCAAATAGTTAACAATCTGGCATTCCAATAGTGACACACATGCCCAACCAAATGGTTACAACCCCCACCTTAATAGTTGACAATGGACTACTGTAAAATACTTTATTTTCGCTATTTTCATTTTAGGAATGATTCAGTGAAAATAAAAGCCAGTGAATATACTATTTTTCCTATATTTTACATTAAACTGACCAGAAATCAAAGAAAATAAATTCCATACAGAACACCCAAAAAATCTTTTCAGCGAAAATTAATTCCAGTGAAAATAAATTATTTAACAGTATTCCAATAGTAACACACATCCCTACAGAAATAGTTCATAATGGACTATTACAGTAATGAAACAGCATTACCCAGTTTATAATGGAATCTTCCAATGATGACACACCTTCTCTACCCAAATAGTTCATAATGGAATCTTCCAATTGGGACACACCCTTACCCAAATAGTTCATAATGGACTATCCCCATAGTGACACACAACTGTCATTACATTGCATCAGATTTTGTGCTATCACTAGAGGGCGCTGTTGGATCAAGCTCTTCTCCACACTCAGTGACATCACTCTTAGTTTCTGCCTGTTTTACAAATGAACATTCATCTTTTCCTTCTTTCTCTCCATTTTCATTTTGCTCAACTACATTGGCTTTTGATATTTCAGCTAAGTTTTCTGGTTCATCTGTTTTTTCTTCTTTTTCTCCATTTTCATTTTGTTCAACTACATTGGCGTTAGGTATTTCAGCTAAGTCGTCTAGCTTATCTGATTTTTCTCCATTTTCATTTTGCTCAACTACACTGGCGTTAGGTATTTCAGCTAAGTCTTCTGGCTTATCTGATTTTTCTCCATTTTCATTTTTCTCAACTACAATTGTACTAGATATTTCAGCTAAGTCTTCTGGCTTATCTGATTTTTCTTCTTTTTCTCCATTTTCATTTTGTTCAACTACATTGGCGTTAGGTATTTCAGCTAAGTCGTCTAGCTTATCTGATTTTTCTCCATTTTCAATTTGCTCAACTACAATGGTATTAGATATTTCAGCTAAGTCGTCTGGCTTATCTGATTTTTCTCCATATTCATTATGCTCAACTACAATGGTACTAGATATTTCAGCTGAGTTGTCTGGCTTATCTGATTTTTCTTCTTTTTCTTCAAGTTCAATTTGCTCAACTACATTTGCTTTAGGTATTTCAGCTAAGTTCTCTGATTTTATATCTGGTTCAATCTCAGAATGAGAAGCTGTTTCTGCAGATCTGTCTGTTCCTATGGTATTTGTTGCTAAGCTATGAGTTGGAGACTCATCCTTGCCGACAGACCCTCCATTATTACCATTTTTTGCATGTTTATCATTAATAGACTCTTCTGTTTCTGTGGAGTCAGATTTATTTTCTGTAAGAGATAGATTAGGCACAACATGGTCTACTGCACAGTCATCTTTTTTTGTTGTTGTATCACCACATTCAGATCTTCCTTCAGGTCTTTCAACATTATTTTCAGTATTTTGGTGTAATTCCTCACTTTCTTTATCAATGGTGTTATTTTCTCCAACATCATGGTTTCCATCCACTATTTCTTGTTGGGCCGAGCCTAGATCGGGTTCTACTTTACTATCACACCCAGCCTTGACTAGATCGGGTTCTACTTTACTATCACACCCAGCCTTGACTAGATCTTGTGCCAAAGCAGCTTCTCCTGGTTGATCAGAGTCAGCACTTTTGAATGATTCAAAAGAATCACCGGTTTCACTCACATCTTGTGAATGTTCAGCAGCCAAATCAACTGCTTTCATATCTTCAATAATATCACTTACATCTACATCTTCAGAAACATTTTTTGTGCAATCATTTTTCTGCTCGTTTTTATTTTTCGTCTTTTCAATAAAATGTTTGTCAATGATAACCATATGATGTGACACTTGTTCATCATCCCACTCCAACTCCAACTCTTGAGCATCTGCATCAAGTGAAGCTTCACTTCCCGATTCCACCTCAGCTGCCCAGTCTTCTACATGTACATGGTCAGTTGGTGTTTTCAGAATACCTGGAGACACAGGTTCATCTCCGGATATTTTCCCTCTTGGAGAGATGCTTGGCAACGAAGAGTCAGAATCTGTGACCCAATCTTTGCTGGAACTAGAACTATTTCTTTTATTCTGATTAGTTGCAACAATTGTCAGCTTTGGAACCCTCTTGCGAGTGACATTCTGTTTCTTCTCTCTTTGTGCCTGTGGTGAATCAGACCATTCTGCAGATGGTACAGCTGTCCACTTTTGATCTGTTGACAAACCAAAGACAATAAGATGAAACATGTCTACAAAATCATATAGATGGAGAAATCAAAGATGCATAGCA